GGGAGAGAGGGAAGGGGATGGGAAAGGAAGAGGGGGCTGGAGAAAGAAGGATGGGGGAAAGACGGAGAAAGGGAGCGCGAGCGGGGAACTGGAAGCAGAGGCAGACCGGGAAGCAGAGAGGAAAAGGCAGGAGCAGCCGGGAGGCACCGGGAGCGGAGCAGAGAGGATGGTGGAAGATACGGGCAAAATTCACAAGAGAAAATACTGCGGGAAGGGCGCGGGGTGGGGGTGGGGGGGCAAAGAAGCTGTGGCCAAAAGTGCGAACAACTTGGCTTTGCGGCCCAAAGCCACAAGCTAGCTGATTTACAGAGCAGCATTCTTTGCAACTGCCTCTGCTGCCTCAAACCTTGCTTTTTCCCCCCTCAGACTTTCCTCTCACCAGATAAACAGTTGTACATCCCTCCCTCCGGCTCCCTCCCGCCTCCCTCCACTCGGCCCTTCCCGCCCCCCACCTCCTTTCCCAGCCTTTGAGGGATGGACCGGAGACAATGCTGGTATTGAGCTGCCCGCAGTGTGAATACTCGGCCTGTCCTCCCCGACTGCCAGCGCCCGCAGCTGAGGCCCGAGCCCGGCAGCAGCGCTGCTCACCCGGGAACGCTCCCACAGCTCACACACCATCCCCGGCACCGTCGCAAGAGAAGGGAGATTAAATTAACGGAGAGGAATAAGCCCTATGTTTTACTGCTGATGCCTGCCTGCCATTCCCCCAGCCCGCTCTCCCGTGCTTGCAGGAGGGATGAGGAGAGCTGCTCCCAGGGACGTTTCACTAGCATAACCCTTCTGTGGCCAAAGCACAGCGGGGCAGGGAGGGGGAAGCAAAGAGGGAAGAGGTGGTTTGAGGGGGGTCCAGAGAAGCAGGTGCAAGAAAAGCTGAGGGAAACTCCGCTGTGAGATGCTGTCCTGCATGGTCACAGTGCTGCTGCATGCCTGTGCAGGAAGGGAAAAAACAGGTCTTGTTTCCTGCCTGTTTCACCTCTGCTCCTGGAGCCTTATGGGGATACAGTGGACCCAAACTGGAGAGACATAAGGACTGGCTCTGTGTCATACAAATGGCCACATGGGATCAGATCAAAGGTCCCTCTAACCCTGCGTCCTGTCTTGGAGCACAGCCTAAAGCCAATGCCTAGGGCAGAGCACAAGCACAAGGCAAGCGTGCAATGGTACTGCCCCAGAGCACTTCTCTAGTTTCCCGTGATTTGTGGCTAAGGCATGTACCCAGCCAGTGGCAGTGTCTTTGTAGTTAATGGCCTTCGATTGATTTTCTTCTTCCAGGAATGCATCCAGTTGCTTTCTGAACCCCTAGAAACTGGCCCCTGCAGCCTCGGTATGGAAAGGCCATGCTGTCTATGAGTACTTAAACAATCCCTGCATGTGTTAAAGGCCCACAAATTAAGGGCTAAGGTCATGACCCCACTGCTCCACTGCCACACATGCAGCGGCAAAAGAGATGACTGCTTTGTATTCAAGCCAAGGAGTGAGTCGACTCAGACATTTCCCCTGCAGGAGACTTGACGCAGATGGCACCAGAGAAGTGGAGCAACGAGAAGGAGCTAGGGGGTTAATCCACACACTGGATGTTCCCAAGCTCCTGCAGAGAGAGATTTCACCCGACAAGGATATTGCTCTAAAGAAGACCATGCTGCTAATAGACTAGCAGCCACTGCTCTAGGGCAACGGACAGCACAAGGGACAGAAAGATGCCATCAGGCTGCTGGCATCTCAGGCGATGGGCATCACCAAAAGGAAACCTCTGCGCTCTTGTGACAGTTTGAGTACAGCTGAAAGACCCAGTCCCACATGAAGTTACCAATGATAAAAACACACCCCTCTTGCAAGTCAGAGCGTTGCATGGATCCTTTTTACAATGGTCTCCCACATATGTTTCATCTACATTTAATAAGAGCTATTGTATGTTAATTAAATGCCAGTGGAGTAAGGAAAACATATTTGTCAAAGATTAACTATTATGCAATGCAAGAAGCATCTGCCACCCAACTGCTAGAGCTCACTAAATATTTCCTTATCTCAGAGTATTTACTTAGGAGGCAATAACTATCCAGTTAAATCTAAATTTAATGCTTAGTTAAATATAGTTCACGGAAAGCAGCACCAATATGTTTTATACAGGGAACGACAGCGGGGGTTTCAGGGAGGGAAAAGGAAGGAATCCTGTCCCCATACTCCGGTAACATCCTGACTCAAGGTGGGACTGCACGTGGCTGTGCCTCCCTACAAAGTGGGGAGTGTCACAGCAGACTCGGAGGCCCCTCTCTGCTGAGATGGAAGTACAGGGGAAGTCTTCATCTTCTTACGCATTTATACAATCCTCATTATAATGACCATAGCATAACTATTTAATAATAATAATCATAATAAACAGAGAGACGAGGAAGAAATTCCCTTGAGGGTCTCGTAGACCTTGGGAAAAACAAAACAAAACCTAAAGCTGATACGTCTTATTTGCTTTTAGAAGCGTACAGAAGCAAAAGGAAGGGGTTGCATGGGTATAAAAGGCCAAACAAGCAGAAATCACACAAATCCTAGGAGAGCGCTTCATGAGTAAAATAAATAATGTTATTTTTGTACATGTTCCCAGAAGAAATAACTCTCTGGACCAATCTCCCCCTGCTGGAAGCAGATAACGAAACAGCAGGTCTGCTTTCTAACTTTGTACCTTCTAAAAACTTGAGGAAAAATTCAGGTAAACATTCAGAGTGCAGACGTCACAAATCCATACTGCCATCTTTAACGCCATTTCCCAATACTCCCAGTAGGTGCAGGACTAGCAGGGCCAGCCTGACTGAACAAATTTTGTCACTATGCAGTTCAGGAATGGATGGGGCAGCATGACCCCAGCCCTACAGGTACCACATCACCCTCCTCCAACATAAAACACTTACAACCCGTTCAAAGGGAACATGGCCTAGAGCAACACCCTTTGATGAGTGCAGGCTGTACAGCACCACCAAAGAAACACTTGGATGACAGGTTTAGGAAGGTGTCTGTGTGTCCACACTGTGGGTACGGGATGACTCTGCGTGCAAGCTGGAGGGAAAAAGGCAGCACAAGCAGCCACAGCCTGTCTCACCTTACTCTCCCTGGCTTTGAGGGAAATCTGCTAAAGACATCACAGCCTAGGCATCTAAGCTGGCCAAAGGACACACCCTCCATGCTGGCCCTGGGTAGGCAGCCTCCACTGAAACATGCGGTGCTGAGATGCTCTGGGACTGGTACTCAGGTCACCTCTGCCTACCTGTGTGGCAGCTCAGTTTTAGAGATACTCAGGGACTGACATTGTGAAAGCCTGAAGTGCCATCTGCTTTTCATGGAGAGCCAACAGAAGCTTAAAGCATGGACTCTGGCCACAAATAGGGATGGTTTTTTTTTGCATTTGAGGTGGCTAAAAGCAAAGAGCAATCCATGGAAACTTCACGCAATGCCAACTGCAACAGCCATCTGTATGATGTGGATGGTTGCCCTCTAGGAGCTGAAATGAGGCTCATCAGCTCACACACACCACAAACTGGCAACTGTTGTCACTTGACTTTCATTCACTACCAACGACACCAAAACTGGTGACTTGTTCCCAAATCTCACTGGAATCAGGGAAAAGACATTTCTGAAAAATACAAGAGAACTGCTCACACAAATCTCCAGACTTTCATGACCCACATGATTGTTTTTAAGGGGACTGTATACCTGCTCTGCCAGCAGAGTCCAAGCATCTAGGGACTTTATTCAGGGTATCTGCAATGATGAGTGAAAACGTATGATGTTTTGTGAGCTATAACGCGTTAGTCAAGATACACTGCTGTACTCGGCAGCAGAGGCTGCTCAAAGCTTCTCAGCCATGCAGAGAAAATGCAATTTTGTTGCATTGGCAGAGGAGTTATAGAGAGGAACAGGGAAGAGCTAAAGGGGTTTCAGCACATGGGGAGGAAGATTAAGGGACCGTGGCAGGGGTGTGGTGATCTCTCCTTCCTCTCTTCCTTCCTGTACCTGCAGCTCTTAACATGCACGCATTTCTGCCCTGCTGTGCAAGGGCAGTATCCCACTCCATTTTATTAAGCAGCTACATTTCACTCTCCTTTGGTTCCTGGGATTCAAGGAGCCACAGGGCAAGGAGGGAGAAAAGGCAGGGCTAGGAGAGAGGTGGAAAATCCTTTGAATGCAGCAGGTGCCTCTACAGGCAAATCGAAGAGGAGGTGGGCTTTCAGTGGTAAATGCCCTTCTCCTCAGACTCAAAGAGAGGGGTCACGTAGGCCATACTCTGCCCATTCCTTCAGCTACACCTGCCTGAT